CTCTGCAAACTTATTATTGATTATATATGCAGAAGACTCGCTCGGCCCATGACGATATATATAATATTCAGGAAAAAAACTAATTGAAACAAGAAATCGTCGCCTATACTTCAGTTTCTCCTATATTCTGTTTACAACCATTTTCCCAGAGAACTATTTATTTCCAGTTTTATGATTTATTGAAGTTTTGAGTGACTATACTTGTGAGTATCCATTAATTTTGCTATGGATTCGACATTATAGGCTTTCTCGTGGTGGTATCAGACAAAAACTCCTGAAAATAAATTAATAATATTATCGTATTGATAAATGTAATCCGTGTTAGATATACTGTGTGTTCGAATAGATGAAAATAATTAAAGTATATAGCGCGATCAGACCATCATGTAGAAAAATCGCCAGTTTTTTTCCGACATTATCGCCTCATTCAGCGACGACGATATTATCAGGTAACCAAGCAGAAACCGATTATTATCTCACAATATGAACCCGTACGAAGACGACGATATTCACGTGGCATGAGATCACGTGGTTTTCACGGTCTGGTGATTTCGTAAGGGTCATATAAGTTTTTAGTGCATTGTGGGAAATTTGACGCTTTTCAAACCTTGTTGTATTTATTTGAATTACAGTAATGGCGGCCGCCGGCGAAATACTAAAAAAACATACCACGTTTCGTCGATGCCGTACAACTTAACGCTAGAATCACAAGCGTTTACTCTAGCACTAAACGAGCAAGTCGCCAAATTTAAAATCTATCGTTCACGAACTCGAGACGATGTAATATCCATATACACTCGATTTTTTTTTATCACACTATACATGGTGTCCAGAAATTTTCGTTCAATTCTATAATAATGAACAGTTGAAAATTTATTTGTCTTCGCTTATTAATAGTTCTTGTTGTGCTTGTAGCTCTCATTTATCATACAATGAAATTTATTCAAACTTACAATTGTTATTACCATAAAATCTGGCGAATATTTCGGACACCCTGTATATATCACAAGCATTGAATGCATGTCGTGCAGAACGAATATTAATCACACTTCATAGAAATACAAAAGAGTACAGTTGGTATTTAACAAAAATGAATTGCTAAATAATAGACCGTACGAGGTTATCCGTGCATTATTGCAAATGGTTACTGAAGAGGCGACATTATTGCATATTATATTATTCAAATATTCTTCCTTCGAAGCTAATTTCTCACTTAAATCAGGCAATTTGAACATGTTTGGCTCTTCTTTATTATCAAATACTCTTAAATAGTTGTACTTTAATTAGTGAATTATTAACTAGTTGATATGATTGAGAAGACAAACTTGATTTGTACATTTTGAAACATTCAAGTATTAAATTCGTTTAGACTAAATTATTTCTCCTTCTAATTGTTATTCTAAAACAACTCGGTATGTTGGATTATAATACATTTGAAAGATAGCCAAAGCGTTCCGATTGCTATGCGCACTCCTCAAGTATTCAATTAAATAATCGACGGCTTAATTGAATTGTCTTTATTCAACTTTTGTATTAAGAGTACTGAACCAAATGTAAAGGTTAAGATCAGTGAATAAGATCCAAAAATTTGCTATATTCCTACAAGAATGGATATAAGATTGAAAAATTGGCACCGTATATTCATGCACATTCAAGCAAATGGATAGGATTTATAATGGATAAAGTAAATTTCCCTGAGAAAATAGAATGCTATAAAATCAGCTAAAGATCCATTACATATTGAATAAATAAAATTGTTTTTACGCATAGTAAGAAAGGAATTAAAAGTTCCAGGAAGAGAGGAATTTAACGAACAACTAGGCTGGAGTAAGCACACAAAGTAAGATTTATATTTAACAACGAAAATATGGTATAAAGAGTGGATATTCAGAGAAAAAAAAATTCTATTTGCAATGCAATCTATATTTGAATTACGGTTAGCGTTGCTATATACCCTTCCCGGACATCGGAACGTAACATGGGTAACAGGTTAGTGTTAGGCGATATTTTTTTTCCAATTTTCCTTATTTTAGTCCTATTATCAGTTCGAAGACTAGCCAAGAGCCTCCCGTAGTATTTATACCTAAAATTACGGCCTAACCCTAACCTAGTATACATATTACATTCCGATGTCCGCCATCTTGGTTCGCATACTTCGGGAGCCGCCCCTTCCCGATACTCCCGTAGCGTGTGTACCAGGTTAGGGTTTGGCCATAATTTTATTCCCGTTTTCTATATTTTAGTTATATTAGAAGTTCGGGTCTGTCTGTGTAAGCCAGGTAAATATACCCCTGACCATAGGTTTCATTCCCTTTACACAACTTGTTGTAAAGTAGGTGAACAAAATTAGTTACAGCCATATTGGTACACACACTTCTGGAGCGCCCCCTTTTCTGGCTTTTTTAGACAAATGTAATTTGAGTTAAACAGCGATTTCATACAAAACAGAACGAAGTAATTTGAAACCATCAAAGCTACTTGAAAATTCGAGCAAAATGGTTTCACGGGTTTCCACATGAGCGATTTTTTGAGATCACGCGGCAAGGTGTACTACCCAAGCAAGAAGACGAATCGTTTCGCGTCCCTTTGTTGGCTTTTGAGCGAGTCACGTAGCGTTTGAAAGCCTAGTATAGAACTAGGCCTGGTGAATGATTGGTTTAAAAAACAGTCGTTTTGGGGGAATATTTGTGAGGTAATTGGACCTACTTGTGAGAAAATATGGAATAAAGAAGACTTTTGGTTTTTTTTTTGAGGCATTGTATTTAGTTGTTAATAAGACTCGACAATTCATTTAGAAAGTTGTTTTAGACATTTATGGATATAAAAAATCGCATATCACGCTTGCGATAGCAAATTAATATATTTGGTACAAAATCGCTTATGATTATCTTGTATTGGTAACGAAGCTAGGACCCGTCCTGTGGAGCCAGAGAAAAATAGCAATCGACTCCTGACTCTGAGTTGTAAACAACTTTGACTCCGACACTGGGCTTTATAAATTTTGATTCCAGACTTCAAATTCATCTTTGAGTTTTTTTTTATCGCCATTGAAAATGTGAAAATCTGGCTTCAAAGAAATCCGACTCCGGATAGTATATAAATACGAGTTTTTATCGTCGTTGAAAGTTTGCAATTCCGACTCTCGATTCTTAGAAGTTTGAAAATACCACTATAGCTCCGACTTCGATAAAAATATAACAAACTCTGTTGGGTTCAGTATTATTCTCCTAAACATAGCACTACGCGTGGATGCGTTACTTGATACCCGGCCAACGCTGAAACAATAAGAGTGAAGTTTTTAGTTACACGCTAGATTGTATCGAACTTTAATTACTTCTTATGTTTGTAAACTTTGATTAAATAGAAACCGAATTATGCGGGTATACTGCCAATTGAATAAAAAGGAGTTCCTTGGGACACAGGTTACCTATGGCCCGTGTTTTTGTTCATTTAGGAGGCAGTGGTCCCGGTTTTAACCGAGAGGGCGAGGGCCTCTGAGCACGTAATGTTTTGTGTCGTTGGTCACTTATGTGTATGGTTGAATTTTTATGAATTGATTCCAGAATGAATTCGATAGTCCAGCGAAGGATCGCAATAGGAACTGGTATTATTGCGAAGAAGAATGCCTAGTATATTTGAGTTGATTATTTGTCTTTTTTGGATTTCTGGACGAAAACGGTTTTATTAAAAATTGCGAAGATGACTCAATTTTAAGATATTTTCAAAAAAAGTTGTTTAAAGAAATGTCATACAAATACATTTTTGAACAACTGCGAGATTTTAGTAAATCGTTTTTTTTATATAAATGGTTATCTCCAAACAAGGCTTTAGACAGGCAGGCTTAAATATTTTGATTCAAGGTCTAAAACACGACAACATCTTTCGTCACATCTTCGGTGTTATCGGGGTAATTAATATCATTAATTAAGCATAATTACGGAGATATGGGATCTTTTATCTTATCTAGAGATTGCGTCGATATATTAGTTAGAATAGATTACATGGGCGGCGATTAATTCGGCGCGGTTACTCCCAAATTGCCCCGGGGGGTAAAAAAAAATTGCATTCTGAAAAAATGTGATTTATGATTGATTTACTTGCGCCAGCGGCGTATTTATACAGTAAATTATATGTTGAGGTATAGGTATGTTAATTAATGGGCACCTGAATGGACTAAAGTGTCTATTTAATGTAATGCATTTTTTATTGCCGTACAGAAGGTAATTTAAAGTGTTGTGTAGAAGACCGTAAATTTAAAGTCATGGGTCATGTGAGCCGAAGTTGAGTTGGGTAGCACTGGCGATTAGTGTTGAGTACTTCAATATCAGGGGTGAGCTAGGTATAAAGATTAGGGGCCAAAAATGTTGCCCACCTAGACCGGTGGTCCATGTAAGTTTAATATAAAATATTTTTTAAACAATATTTACAGTGTTACAAAAGCAAAAGTGGTAAACGATAAGCCTCGTGCCAGAAGTAAATTTAATCGCGATCTCAACAAATTCCTTAAGTTATTGTTTGCTGGATCATCAAAATTTGGTTTTAGTTGGTTGTGGTAGCATCAGGCGGGTGAGACTGAAATACCCAACTGGCCGAATTTGGCTCGCGAGCCCTAGTTTGTCCATGTCAGTACTACATGGATTCAGTAACCGTAGGAATTTCTGTGGTAGCACATAACTTTACTAATAAATCGATTTGTCTTCTTCACATCTGAGGGCTACATATTTCTGTATATACACCTGATTAATGACATTAGTTGAGTCTGTTGCAGTATCCAATTTTCCCGATAATCTAACAAATTTGACAGGTTATAATAGAGAGAGGGAAATGGGAGATTTAGGTTCCATAAGCAATGCATGTCGCGTCCGAGTTATTTAATTTAGATAAGTCACTTCGAGTATTTAAATGGCTAGTCGACCCACCCCGCCACTGTTATTTTCCACATACTCTAGGTTGGGCGAAATTTAACAATTTTTTTAACAATATTTTTCATTTTCCAACAGAATTGTTTAATTTTAAATATTAGTCTAAAATTTTCCTCTGAAGATCATGGAGAATTTGTTCAGGATAGCCGGTAAGTGAAACTAAGTAAATCAAGAAATTAATTTTTTTTTACAAATTGTGGTTTTAACAAACATTTTAAATATGCTATGTTATTTAAAGTTCTTGCTGCAACACATTTTTATTTCTGTGACGTTTTGTTTGATAATCGTCTGACATCTGCATGCATGCTTTTCTTGTCATAGTCAGTTTCTTGTCAGACAAAACGTTACAGAAAAGTGTGTTAGTGTGCAGCAAAACTCTTGAATAACAATATATTAAAATGTTATGAAATGAATAATATAATGAAATAATTTTAAGGGTTTGCCGAATCTCTCGTGATTTGGCGCATAGGGTGTCCATGAAGTCTTTAATTTTTTTAAAATTTCAAAGGGAAGATATCGATCCAAATATTGTTTTGGCCTCACAGATGTATTAAATGAAGTAAAAATACTCACTGATTAAAAAACAACAAACCTGGTTAAGATATATTGTGAACTGACTTCATAATAGAATTAAAATTGTAAAGGGATTTTATGGACACCATGTAGGTATTCGGCTACTTGCAAAGAATGATACAATGTAAATATTAAACTCAAACCGATCAACAAATATTTCGAATTTCCCATTTTCAGTCAAATAGCACAGGATGTACTTCTAGTTTTTATCGATTGCTTTTAATTGATTTCTAGTTAAGTCGAAAACCCAATTACTAACTGAAAATGTAAATGCGTTTTAAAAATCATTAGCAATCGTTAAACTAAGAACTTCATTTTTCTGATATTTTTGTATATATAAATTACAACTAATTGTCTTCACCTATAAGTTGGACCTGGCCTTCAGCTGACTTGCAGCTCTTCAACTAGTACTCTTTCCACGTTTAGTTGACGGTTTGGGGCGGTCTTTTGAAACCCGTCTCAGCAGTGCTTCTGTGTCATAATCACAATACCCCTATGCGACCGCGTACCTCACTTTGAGAACCCAATGCTATAAATCAGGGGTGTGCAACCTTTAATATAGAAGCGCCAGATACAAGTAACCGGGTGAAACCGCGCACCTTTTTAATACAGGCTTACTAGTATTTGCAGGCACTAAAATTTCGACTATTGATCTTATGGCATGTGTTGTTCGATTAGCACTAGCTGTTAGGGTATTTTAACGTCATATGCATAAACTGGACTCAGGTATTAACTTTGCAACGCGAGATTGGGATTACTCGCACAATTGTTGAGCACAGTTCACTAAGGCAGGGCTACTCAACTATTTTTATCGAAGGTCTGCAAACAAAACTTCAAAATTATTTGGGTCCGGTCTTTCCAGAAATGATATTTCGGCATCCTTAAACGAGCACTTCCTCGACCGACTAATGATTAGTAGCAAATTAAAATTGTTTATTAGGGTGTTATAGTTCTTTTCGTATATATTCAAAACTATGAAAGTCATTTTATAATAGTAAATTAAAAAAGTGGGGCTACTGATCCAAAATAAATAATTAGGTGCGGTCTAAGTCCAATACTCGAAAGGTCCGGATTCGGACCGCGGTCCGCCCTGCACTAAGGGATTCAATTAGAAACTTTCAAATAAAACCTAAACACAGTGCGACATACAACTCCGTTTTTAGGTTTGCCTTTGACCCCAAACCGGAAGCGGAATTAACATTTTCATTTATTTCACAGTTCTCCTGTCCATGAGTTGTACCATCCTTTCCGTAGATATTGAAATAATCAACAAGGAGGAACCCGTACGTTGGTATGAGGCCAACTCTTCAACGCTTACTGTATGTAGGTGGCAACATGTTGATAGTAAGTATCGCGTTATTATAATAAGCATGAGTAAAAATTTATTTGACCTTTAAACCAGGAAATTTGACGACTGTGTACTTTGTTTCCGGTCTCGTGTTTAAAGCGAGAAACTACCTATGATGGAATCGCAGGTTTGGATCTTGGGTTCGGTTCGAATCCTATGCCACCACTTCACCCAGATTATAATAAAATGGGTAAACAAACAGGGGGTAGCCAGTAATTAACCTTCATATCTCCCCCTTCTTTCTAATTTATTTTCCACCCCTATTCCCCCCTCATTATCACTCTTTCTACCACTATTGCTTTGCTTTCAGTGGAAAACACAACAATCACAAGAGAACTGGTCAGATGGAAGGGAATTATGATGGAAAGCAAAGATGACCCATCGAATACTTTTGTATACTCGGGTTCACCAATTCCGGAAGAAAGACTGTCCGTGATCACAGACTTCGAAAGTAAGTTGTACGAGTCCGGTTACGTCAGTAGAGTCCGAGGTTTCGTTAATTTATATTCAAACCCAAGAGTCTATAATATTATATTTCTACGGAGAAGGCCTTATAAATAGAGTTTGAAATCCGTAATCTGCTGTCTATATGGTAGTTCAATAGCATGGAGTTGGAGGCAAATGAAGAGGACCTCCAGAGGTATGTGCACCAAGATGGCGCACAACCTGAAATAGTATGTGTAGCAGGTTAGGGTCCAGGTTGTGCGCCATCTTGGTGCGCATACTTCGGGAGCGCCAATGACAATTTGAAAACTTACATTCATACCATACGTATTCATTCCACGCAGTCTACATTGCAGCCCAATAGTTCTTCACGGAGTAAGTCATTCAAATAACGATTGGGACCATATATCCATTCCTATCCTGCGGTCCATATTTCATCCCAATATTTCCTTATAGATGAGGTCATTTAAATGGTTATTGGAAACATATATTCATTCCTATTTCTAACCCACTGTTTCTATGGTAGACCAATAACTATCTATAGGAACGGCCATAAAAGGTGATTGGGGCACCATTCCTAAACAGATCTCTCTACATGACTGCCCGATGGTCCTCTACGGGCGAGACCATTCAAATCATCCCTAACCTATAATAATTTATATAAAATATTTCAGCAATGACATCCGAGTTACGAATACTTAACGTTAAAATTACCGATCCAACAACCTTCTCTTGCGAAGTTGAAGTCAATCAAGTCGTCGACGACACAGATTATCATGTTGCATATTACGGTAAGTAATTAACAAGAGGATATCTGTTGTTCATTGACCAGGTTAATTGTGTTGGATGATTTTGCTACTATTTTAGAGTGCATGTAATAGGTCTTTTCAAAAATGTTTGCAGAATGCTCAGCAGTTTATCGCTGTAAGTCATCTGCTGAAGTACAGAATGAGACGTTTTGTTTTATGTCTTGAAAATTGACTAATTGTGACTTTTGGATATAAATCCGAAATACCTTTGCAATTTGCCCATTTGTGTTTTGTTGATAGAACATCAGTTCCATTATTATTATTTATAAGAGCACCAGAATCTTAACTGCCTCGTGCCTTTTAAAAATGAAATGATCCGGCCCTGATAAAGTGGCTTGAGTCATGCTGAATATATCACTCAGACTAATCATCAGCTTACAGCCAGATTATACTTTACTTAAGGCTCGGGTTACACAACACTGCTAACTTTTTCATCTTTCAAGGTTCCGTTCTTTCTAATTTGAAATGAAAACTATGAACTTTCATACTATCGAACCTTATCGAGCCTGTTAAATAGTAAACAATAATATGCCAAATCGAGTTCATGCATCTGAAATAAATAACTACTCACATACGCAACATGGACTGGTATCCGGTCGAGAGGCCGTGGTATGTCATATAATAATCCGTATTATCGACTTTCCCTTTTTCCAGGATAAATATTAAAATCCTATCCTAAATCATGAATGTTAATAAATGTTCTTGTTGTATTTTCCAGCGATCCCAGAAGTTACCGTCGAGGACGGTAACATGAACACAACAGTCATGCCTGCTGCCCCACCAACCTCCGAGGAAACACCAACAGAAGCAGGTAATGTTTATTTAACCTATTAGTTCTCAATTTTTCTTGATCCATGGCTCTTTGGGTGCAGGGTCAAACGCACTCATTCAGAAATAAGGGGGAATCATCTCTGAACAAAGTTGCGGGCGCATGCACACCGATTAAATGACTTTATATTCATATGAGTTGGGTGTATACGCATATGAGTTAGCTGTATATGCAAATTAGGAGGCTGTATATGCGAATGAGTTGGCTGTATATGCATATAAGTTGACTGTATATGCATATCAGTAGACTGTATATGCGAATGAGTTGGCTGTATATGCATATGAGTTGGCTGTATATGCATATCAGTAGCCTGTATATGCGAATGAGTTGAACGCATACGCATATGAGTTGGCTGTATATGCATATCAGTGGGCTGTATATGCATATGAGTTGGATGTATATGCAAATGAGTTGTATGTATACGCATATGAGTTGAATTTATATACACAATAATTGGCTGTATATGCATACGAGTTGGATGTATAAGCGAATTGGTTGTATAGGCAACCATATTACCAACCCAATCGATATACGATACTCACTACGTAATTTAGTACTATGACGTCACACATTTCATATTGTGACGTTTTCTCCTTTTTTTTTTGTAAATTATCTCTCTAATATTTTTGGCGAAATCATAACTTTTCTGTATTATTTTTTCTTTCGAAAAAAATCAATTTTCACATATTTTTCACGTCTAAACCTGGAATTTTAATCCTTAGCAGAGACAGACAACTACGAGTATTCCGATACTTACGGAAGTGAATATGGAAACTCAGATTCAACGGATACCAATTCGGACGGGAGTGAATCCTTACCCTCCGATTACATGGCGCAAGAAGCAGCTTCTAACAGCACCACCGTCTCATCAGCTCCCAACATCACAGTGTTCTGCTCAGTCGTTAATTCTTTCCCGGAACCAGTTGTGGAATTTATTGTCGGAAGTAAGTATATTGCGTTTGTTGTTGTTCTAAGTCACCGATTTTCAACCAGTGGGCCATGGCCCACTTCTGGACCACAGAAATATTTTCAAGTGGGCCACAAACCTATTAAAATTGCGGTACTTCTGAAGTATGCGCACCAATATGTCGCACAACCTGAACCCTATCCTTGTACACAGCCTGAGTTCAGGTTGTGCGCCATCTTGGTGCGCATTTTTCAGGAGGTACAAAATTGCTATAGTCGTTGCCAAATTTAGTTTCATTTGTGTCACTATGAGTAAATTTTTACTGTAGTAGCAATAAATGATGATAATGATGCTTTTCATTCTATTATTAAAGTGAAAGTTTTTATTTTTGCAAAAAGAGTCTTTCGTTTTTGTTGTAGTTTTTCCCTCGCATGGGAAAGTCAGTGGACCGCAGAATTTTTATGCAACGAAATTAGGCCACAAAATTAAAAGGGTCGAAAACCACTGGTCTAAGTAAAGATGAGATTTTTACGGGGGGGATTACTGATTCAGGGCCTCCGTGATCGTTCAAGGCTTATTTGTTCCAAATCTTTTTCTTTTTACTTAAAGTTTCGATCTTTTGTTTCTGAACAAATTCACACTGAAAGCTAATGCAATATTTATCTTATTTAGAAGGCACAGCTGATAGTGAAACCTTTGCGCCAACGACAAACAATATCGTCCAGGACTCAACTACCAAGTATTTCAGCGGACAAGCAAAGCTGGTCATCAAGCCTGATAAAAAATACGACGGAAAGAAAGTCTCGTGCAGGTTGGTAGGATTCCACTACAGTTGCACCCACGTACATTTGCAACCATAATTTGAACCCACGACAATTGCACCTAAAAAAATTTTTTACGGATATTTGACCCATACTAACCCTAACCCATGGATTTTAGCACCCGCATATCGATTGAACCCGCGGATATATCGGTTCAAATGTACGTTGGTGCAAATGTGCATTCACCGGTTGGTAGACCAAGAAATACACAAATTTACAATCGTATATTTCTATAACAAGGCTTCTCAAACTTTTGGTGTTATGGAGCCTGTGATAGGCTGACTATTATTTACGAAACCCCAAATTTATATATTTGGCTTTGTTCCTGCATTTCGACGCTACCGTTGTCAAATCTTATTACTTATCGATCTTAAGATCGGTAAGTATGTTGATGGGTATTTGTCTGTTTGTGTGGTTGTCTGTTAGACACTTTCGTATGTTACGCCATATCTCACAAAAGCGAAGTTGAATCTCCTCCAAATTTTGCATGTGCATTCATCATATCTCGGACTCGCATCCATTGATTTTAGATGAATTTTGTCGTATAATTAGCAAGTTATTAATTAATTAGTGATAGGACACACGGTGTCGCTGTGGAGTAAGAGCGGATGAATCAAAATCAGTTTCTGTTTTGGGGGATCCCTTAACTTTCGATCGATAAGTCTCCGGTCTCTGACCAATATTCTCGTTAATGTCATTATTGCTTTATTGTACAGTTACAAAATTGGCAAAGTCAGTAAGTGAACAAATACCTCTGGGACTCCGTATGTATGGTATTCTATCAATACGACATTTATGTTTCTGCGGAACTAAGATTTTCTCTGGCACTGGAAATGGGCCATAGGAGAATAAAGGTTGAGAAACAATGATTTGAATCTCATACGAAGTTTTGGAGTTTTTTTAAATTTCCTGAATATTTTTTGTTTCGTTTTTGATTCTCTTATCTTATCTATTACCTATCTTATCAAACTAACTATCTTTTTACTCAGAGTCACCTTACCAACCCAGGACGAAGCTACAGTACAATGGTCACCAGAAGAATCCTCGCCCATAACAGTCTACCGTGAGTATTACTATCAGTAGTTGGATACGAAGTTGGCCGTTTAGTATGGGTCGTTTAGAAAATTGATTTCCAACCCTATCACCCAAATTCTTCCACTATTCGCCTATTTTGGAACTCTTTATTACTCCCTCACTATGAAAAAAAAAGAAATTCACTTATTCAATATCCTATGGATTCTTAGTAAAGTAGCAATTGCTGTACACAAGCCACACTCCCGCTTTTGTACAGTTCAAGTGGCTTATAAGGTACATCGGTAGTATGCGTACCAGGTTAGAATTAGGCAATAATTTTATTCTGATTTTTTCTATTTCTTTTACGAGTTCGGGGACTGCCTGTGTTAGCCAAGTGAATATACCCCCTGCCTATAGGTTTTAGTCCCTTTACACAACGTGATGTAAAGTAGGAAAAAAGTAGCCAAAGTAGACAAAATTAGTTACTACCATATTGGTACACATACTTCTGAAGCGTCGTTTATAATGTGCACATAATATGCATAAAACCACTTTATTTGTCTAATCTGTATTGATTTGCCAGTGTTATGCGTACGTTTGTGGGTGACAACGCACCAAACTGGATGAGTGAAGGACTCTATGTCCTTAGAAATTCATGTGAATGAAGGACCCATTACAATAAAAAGTCACATACAATAGCGTCGTTTAAATATAAAGTATTCGAGATTCGATTCAATTCGAAAAGAATATTCGATTGTATTCTGAAATCATCGGAAATCGAAAAACGCTCAGCACTACTGTGAAATAAGTAAAATATACGACAATCAAAATTAATGAAGAAGGCAATTTGCAAACTTTCTGAGTAAGAACATCCTAAACAGAGCTCCCTTCACGAAAATTTTACACCAAGCAAATGTTTGCTTTAGTGAGCATGAATATTCAAGGCTGAGCAGAGTCCTAAATGATTTACAAACCCAAATAACCCCTTCTTGTTTCTTGCTTTTCCAATGATTCCAACATAATGTTGAAAGTGCGCGAGGAAGAGATTTTACTGCGCAAATGGTCTGGCGGTATTGCGCAATAAAGCACCTTAGAGGGAGCCTTTATCATTAAACCTTATTTTTCAGATATGAACTCGAAGGCCGAATTGCAAGTTGACAAACAAAACCCAAGTGAAGGCGAGACTGTCACACTCAGATGCATTGCAGATGGAAACCCACAACCAGAGGTAAGAGATTAGAATCATTTTTTAAATATTAATTTGGTCCAGTCAAAGCTTTGCGCAACTAAAGGTCGAAGGAGTACCAATCAGTTATGTCACCATTTTTTTTAAAAATTATTTCAAGGGGAGGGGGTGTTTCCAAATTTAGGGGTTGGTACATATTTTGTTAATAGTTATAAAACTATTTGTAACTTATAAAAATGTGTTATGTATTTGACTGATAATTCAAACCGTCATATGAGCCATTTTGTGAATATTCAAATTCAATTTTTATTTACGTTAAGAATTAAAGTATTGCGTCACACCTGAAAATTAAGCGCAATGTTTGCAATTTAAGGAGGGGTGACCAACCCCTATAATGGGGGGTGTAGAGAACTCACTGATACCAATATAAGAATTGTTATTGCATTAACACACTATATATGTGTTCATGTCCACATCTAAGGAATCAATATTGAGATTCCAGTACTTAAAATGGAAAAGTTGCTAGTTGCTAGAAAGTTGTTAATTATACTTTTTTGAACTTGGAGGCCGATATATCCCCTTCGAATTTTACTGGCTTTTATATTCTTATAAAATGCGGCACAAATCTAATAACACTTCATAAGGCATTGGTATACAGGCCATACTATAGATTTCCGAATCGTCAAAAACCATCAAAAACGCGCAAAAGCCGTAAAAAATATCCCTTAAACACAAATTGAAGTGATAAATTGATGATTATAAAATTGCACTCTCATGCCCATATATTTCAGTATTTTGCTCTCGTTTTAGCTCTCATTGAAGCCAGCATCAGGCTCAGAAGTCAGCCCTGGCGAATTTGTCTTCGACTCCATCTCCAGAGACGATTCAGGGGAATACAAATGCGTTGCCACATCTCCAAACCCAACAGACCCAACCCAAACATTGGAAAATGAAAGCGAAAGTGTTTACATCAACGTTCAATGTAAGTACAAACTGTTTGTTTTAAATTGAAGGCGAAAATTACAGTGTGACTCAGAGTCGAAAAATGAAATCCGGATCCGGAATAATGTCAATTGAAGGTACAAGCCAGGCGTAAAAATACAGAACTACTCTGAGTTAAATACACAAATCCGGATCCAGCGGATGTCCACTCGAAGTACAAGCTGGCTGTCTAATTACAGTCGGATCGGAGTCGGATGTCAGTATCCGGTGTAATGCCCGATGAAGGTATAAGTCCAAATTCAAAGCGGAGTAATCGCAGTTGCGCAAATTACAGTTCGACGAAAACTTAGACTCTCACTATTTCAGATAATTATTTCTCTAAAATTCAAAAATTCGCCCTCTTGTTACTTACCGATTAAAATCGGGTATTGATAGGTATTTGTCTGTCTGTCTGTTAGATGCACGCGATATCTCACAAAAGCGAGATTGAATCTGCTCCAGATTTTGCATGTGCATTCATCATATGTCGGACCAGAAGCCTATTGATTTTGGATGAATTATGTCGTATAATTAGAGAGTTGTTGATTAATTAGTGATGTGACACAAGGTGTCACAATGAAGTAAGAGCGCTGTTTTGGGGATCCCCTAACTTTCGATCGATAAGTCTTCGGTCTCTGACCTATATTCTCGTCATTCATCGTTGAGTCATTTCAAGTTTCTGATACATTGTGACTCCAGTCATGCACCACTGATGTATCAACCTAGTGGCGTAGCCGGAGAAGGGGCTTTTGAGTGCATAAAACCCCTTCAAGATACGAAAATCGCTATGAATTTTTAAGACTTAAGGATCTAAAATCCTTTCAAGCAACAAAAATTGCTGCGTATGATATAGAAAAGGGGGGTCCGACCGTCCCTCCCCTGAATAAGCCCCTTTTAATCAACCCTATATTTCTTTTTCCAGACCTCGATGTTCCAAACTTAAATCAAGCCGGACCACTCACCCTGGACAAAGGAGCCGCATTGTCTCTTACGTGCCAAGCAGCCGGAAACCCATCGCCCTCGTTCATATGGAAAAAGAACGGTAAGTTTTGAAACAATAATTACACTTTTGATGTCTTCATGTACATGATGACGTCATTATCGTTTGAAAAACCTTTATGATTTTTTTACAATGTAAATCAAGTATAATTTGTTACGTAGTTTCTCCATTATACGTCATGCACACGTTGACGTCATAATTGCTTGCGGGTACTTCCAAAACGTAAATCAAGTATAATTCGTTACGTAGTTTCTGCCAGCTTAGAAGTATTTTTTATGTCAAATAAAAGTGAGGCGTAACACTAACAACCCTTTTCTATTACAGGTAAAAAGGTTGGAGACGGATCATCATTTACTATCGCCTCTGTTGGATATAATGACGCTGCAACCTACGCTTGCGTGGCTTCGACTGGCGTTACAGAGCCGACAGAGGCCACCGTTCGAGTTAATGTCGAAGGGGCATGCACAGCTGTTCTCACAGCTCCAGTGGTAATTTCCTTTTTATCCGACATTTGTTCACGATTTTACTCCCTATCATTGGTTAAAACGACTTAATTTATCTCCTATTTCAGATTTCTTCCTCGACCGTACCTGGAAAACATCTCGTCAGACTTGCATGCACCATTACAGGTCAACCTCGTTGCTCAGGTGAAATATAATTCAGTTATTAACATCAGCAGCAAGGCTGTTGTCATTCATGCGTGTAATTCTGGCAAAGTCGAATGGTATGAGGTCAAGGTCACATGCACTCACTTTAACGACATAAGCTGAGGCTGTAATCATTCATGCGTGAAATTCAAGCAAAGTCTAATGCCTTACAATCAACGTCACATGCACTCACTTTGAAGACATGAGCTAAGCCTGTAATCATTTATGCGTGAGATTCTGGCAAGATCAAATAAAACAAGTTCAAGGTCACATGTGTACTCAATCCCAAGAATAGAGTTAAATCTAGGTGATTTGGGCAGAATTTTCTCATTCCAATTCAAGCAGAAGGATGCTGATAGATCGCGTAACCGAAGGTTGGTCATCCCCTCTATCGCCAACGAGTGCATGCATTCGAAAAAACAACTCACAAATATATTGCTAATTCGTGGAAAGAGATTATACTATTCCTGTTTATCTTCATTATGCTATCTCGTTTAGGTATCTGAATGGCAGTAGAATAGTAGACCAGGTGAAAGGACTTACAGCTTAGTACACAATATTCCAGCCGCCTTCCCATCCTCACTATGAAATTTTCAAATTTGACAATTTATTTTTTATTTTTTCAGTCGATATTAGATCAGAGGACAAGCTCACAGCAACGGGAACCAAAACCAGAGTGAATGACACTTATGCCACCCTTCAATACGATGCTCTACCCACTCTCTCTGAATCAACACAGTTCTTCTGCTACGCTTCAAATAGCGTCGGGGCTCAGAATGTCAGTTTTACCATTGGTGATAGCACTTCAGCGTGCTGCCAAGCACCGAAGACAGGAGGCCTCGGAACTGGAGCTATTGTCGGAATCATCATTCTGGTCCTTGTGGTTATTGTGGGGATCCCAGTTGCTTGTTACTTAGTCCGTAAGTATCTTATTTATAACTACAATAATAGGTATGGATCAATAGCTATAGAGTTGTTACATATTTTGGCAAATTGACTCTATGACTAGGGCTGGGTATTTCGAATTGGTATGAGCGGCTTTATTATCAGAAACTCTCGGGTAGCAGAAAAGTTCGACACGCTCCTGTCGCCATCTTACTCATTGTGTAACAAATACGGCAGGACAATACAAACCCAATAGTTTTTTTTTTAAGAATTTTAATTCTTTGATAAGAAAGTTAGTGATCGCTCATCTCACTTTTTATTTACAATATTGCATATAAGCATAGAATTCAACCGAACAATTTTTTTTAATTTTTTTCAGGAAAAAGAAACGCACAACCAAAGAAGAAAACGTGAGTATCTAAAAATTTCTATTTTTCTAACGACCGAGAGGAAGATACAACTGACATTTTTCTAAATTTCTTATTTGAATATCTCTTCTATCGCCATAATCAAGTATTTTGCATACGTTTGAAAGAGAACAGTCTGTCAGACCAACTGCATAACCCAAACCTGATACATATAACCTGCCTGAACCCTAACCTGATATATATACTATGGTCAAGATTGTTAATAACCCTAACCCCTTGCCCCCACCTTACCCAGGTGTTAAATATTTAAAAAATCGTTGATAATTTTCTCCATTCACAGACCCAGTGACGCCGAGAACGCAGACAAAGAAGAGAAAGAAGGATTAAACAAAGACGCTTCATCTGAGGTGTGTAAATTTACGCATGGCTAATCAACCATATGATTACGTCATATATACCTGAAACACCGTTGCCACATATATCTAAGGTCAAAATCAAACTATTCAGATTTCAGTTACAACACAAGAATATATTTTCAGTCACAAAATTTTGATTTGAAACCGTGTTGAATGGAGGGGGTGTCCCGTCATTTACTCGAGTCACCATTTATCAAAAAATCGAGTCACCAATACCATTTATCAAAGAATCGATTCATCTATAAAATTGACTCAAACTTATCATCAACTGAACGTCAATGAGACTTGACTCGACTTTTGGAGGACCAATGTCACGACTTGACTCGGGGTTTAGGACTTTTACCCAACAATGGTTCAAACCCCATGCCAACCCCACCTAGGCTTCAGCTGAACCAAAAAATTTTAAACCACAGTAGCACTTTGTGTATATACGTATATATCCACAGGGTGCGCTAGATTGAACCGAAAAGATTCCGTCTTTCAAAGCATAGTAGATACTTGTGTATCAGTTGCCCCGCATGTACACAAGTAGGGCGTTTCACTATCTAAGTCCACGTATATATCATTTACTATTAAATCGTTATTTATTCTCATACCCGTCCTGGCAACTAGCAGAGTTCGTTGTACGACTAATCAATCTTTTTGGCGTTCCTCGCCCCGGAATAAATATGTAAATCCTACCCTAAATAGTCTCATACCCAATCTAGACTTGCAGCTCAACAAGAGTCTGTGGTTTATTATATGATTAAGCTGTCTCGTCGGCTTTCCTTTCCTCCCATTACTTAGACTGATTACTTGTTATATCCCACCTCAAAGTCGTTTCATTTTTGATTATTCACTTTGCAACAGCGGTGCTGTGGCTTGTTTTAGTTAGATTCGAACGTTAATATAACCTAAATAATCAATCAGAATCTTTTAACCTTTCCGGGGTTATTTCATCATTTTCTTCAAATTACGTCACACTATGACGTCATTATTATTCACTTAGGATTCGGCGAGTACGGGGTCTCTCCCCCCACCACCCGCAGACATGAACGACCATCGGCTCGACAGCGCCCATGAACTGACGACGTTCTCAACAAATAAGTAGGAGACCGCTAAAGGGCGCTGTGGTGCCACACAGGGTGGCGGTGAAGATCAATATTCAAGAAATTTGAATTTTCGCGCGCTTTTTATTGCGCTCTCTACCGCCACCCTAACACACGCCCTTGTCTCGGGTGCCCAAAACATAATTATTGCTGCATGATTCTGCCAATTATAAGACTGAAAAATAATCCGAATATATTAATTGCGAAATGACCAAATAACACTAATTTACAATCACTTTTCAATACTATAGTTTCCATTTTTTATTTGAAATATTGACATAAAATTTGAAATTTTAATTCCCTTCCATTCCAAATTTATTTTGTTTTCAATTACCAATCGATTTGGGATCATAAAATTAATACGCGTGGGAATTTTAAATTTATTCCGCGGTGGCCAGTCTTACAATTTGCAGAATTTGACACTTTTTCTGTCACTGTTAATTAACCTTGCTTTGTTTTTATTTTCTGCTTGCTGGTGATTCTTCTTCGTGCATGAAAATGACTAACTTCTACCACAACACAGAGAACAGAAGAGCCCTGAGAAATCTTCCTAATTAGAATACAATCAACCGCAAGAGGTCAGTAGGGCTCTTCTCTTGCATGTTTTTAAAATTATAAATTCCCCGCTTGAATTGATGTTTTTTGCTCAAGTATATTGCTCTATACAACATGCTTTGCCTAATCACTTGCCTAAAATATGTATCACATTTAGCCCAGATCACAATACCACACTATACCGACATGGCAAACTACGACTCGTGGGCCAACTCCTGCCACTGAGTAATCTAATCGGGTCCGCCTGATGCTGCCACAACCAAACTAAAACCAAATTTTGATGTTTTAACTAAGAATCTTACCTCTACCCCACAGTACAATGATATATTGGGCTGAAGCTAAAGTTACAAGAAACAGTTCAACCCAGATGTTTATCAAAATCATAATATTTAACTAAGAAATAGCTTAATGAATTTGTTGAGATTGCGATTAAATTTAGTTTTAGCACGATGCTAATTGTTTTCCCGCTTTTGTGAATATTGTTCATACTATGTAAGTTATTACGTCACATTTGGCCCGCCAGACTAAGTGGGCAATATTTTTGGCCCTTGCTTCAAAAACCACAAACCACCCCTGCTATACCAAATCAGTTCGTTCCTCCCAGTAATAATAGCCCTATTTAATCTTAAAATATAATCTGATTATGACGTCTCAACGAATTTCCCTGAACCTGGATAAATATTAAAATCCTCACCTTCAAAGAAGCTTCTAACATGTTCAATAGCATTTACCCATATCAAAAATGTGCAAAATCCGGAAAATTTCATTTTAAGCGTGTGAAATATCAATTTATAGCTATCTGGATAAATGCAAGAAGTCCGATACAAAAAAACGCCTGGGATGAATAAAACTATGTCCATATATCACAAAATTTGGTAACAAAATATTCAATTTTTGCAAATTTTATATGTAAATTCAGTACTCAAAATAATGCGAATTATTAGTTATGCATTCCTCTCTCATGTCTCAGCAGTAAATGATTCAGGCGATTGAAATTTGGAAACTTTTTTTTACCTCGTTGTCACGCTAAGCACACTGTATTTCCAAACTTGGTATTTCGCACCATTTCAGTCAAAATTTACACCCACTGCACATTAATTACAAGAAATGCATGATGCATGGTTTTCTTTGGTTTATATTGTCGTACTAAATACTACTTGTATTGTTATCTTTCTGATCTGAATGAAAGTGAGAATACCAAGTTAGGTGTACGATGGAAAGTTATAAAGTGTTGCAGAGACTCAATTTACCTCACTTACCTTTTTCAACTACAGCTATCTAAACTAAAATGACTTGAAATTCGATTTAACTGCCAGAGAAAAGAGAAACAGTGACTCGACTCAATTCGGAACTATAACATAACAATTTGCTGAAATTCGAATTGAATCAAGACTCGAATAACCTGTGACCTAACTTGACCCGGAACCCGTTACTCAACTTGACCCGGAACTTGTGACTCGTCTTGACCCGGGACTCTCGTTTTAGAGACTTGCAACTAACATAGATTCCATAGAGCTTGACCAAGAATAGCAACTGTGTCGTTCCGTGACCTGTCTCATGTTTAAATCTCATTTGAAGTCCCGAATTCCCATTTTGTGTGTTTATCTTGTGTAATATTCTTTGTACCACGGTGTCGTCCAAAACAAATAATATTTTCTCGCATGGTAAAATACTGGACAAATATTAAATGATAAATCTCATAGACTAAAGCATTTATTATTTTACAGGTCTGATTAAATCTTCACAACAAAGAGGAAGAAATTTTTACGAACTAGGAAATAACATTATTATGTGACAATCGGGATTTTTTTGATTCATTTTAACCTTTGACACAAGTTTGAAAGTTTTTTTATGCAGATTATCGTAATTCGATTTAACATTTTAATTAAAAAAAAATGCCTTATTTCGATAACGACGATTTGTTGAATGTTCAACTTGGGTGATTTTATTTTATTTTTTATTATTTCAACGCATTATTACGTAACAATCACTGCTAAAATGCAAATTCCCGCTCTTTTTTTAAGTTTGTGCTGGCCGAGAATGTTGACAAGGGCCAAAATATATTGGTACAGTCCGTTTGTGCGAATACCGTTTGCGCGAAAATGGACTTAAAGATGGGAAAAAATGATTCCATGATATGATTTGGATTCGTATACAGTATATGAATAAAATATGAAATGGTGACCTCAGCAAATTTTTTAATATATGGGTCAATGTGAGTATATGCAGTGGTAAGAAAATAAAAACTCGTAAAAGCTTCTCCATATCGGCTTGTTTATAGCGAATATATTAAAATACTTCATAAGACAAACTAATAGTTCGCGCAAACGGTTTTCGCGCAACTGGCACAATCCTAAGATATATTGCATTAAACGTCATGTCTATTGATACTTAGTCTACAAGAAACGTTTATAATGTCTGAGCCAATCCATAAACCAGGCCTAGTACACTTTTTCTGTATATTGGTATTGTTTTTTTTATTTCAAAAACGCATATCTGGCCCACTTATTGAATCACAATGCCACCCACATCTAAAAACGTACCAATGGACAATTTTTATGCCTTTTTTTTCATTTTGTTGGAATTTTTTTTTGAATCCCGTACCGTTTTCATAATTGGCTCAAATTTTCCAAGTTCCAGATGGAAAACAGCCAACTGATACTATTTTAGTATCCGCTACATGTAATATTCAAAATATGATCTCATAAGTGACTTTCCTTCGGAGGTCTGGTTTTTCGAATCTCAGAAATAGTCACAAAGGATGAAATCTACCAATTAAATTCATGCATCTGAAACAAATAATCGTTTTAACTGATTCAATACTCGCATGGACTGGTAACATGACCAGAGACCATGGTTCGCCATACGATGAAGTCATCTTCTCGGCATTTTCATCCCACGGGATAAATTTTAAAATCTCACCCTATCTTTAATATAAAAACTTTTTGACAATTTGATATGATTTGACATATTTGTTTTCCCAGACATCAATTTTTTTTATCTGTAACACTTAAATAGGTCCAAAATGTAAAATAACCAGAGGAACTCAGTTGCATTTATCGCTTATCATGTTTAGTTAGCTACATATGTAATCAAGGCTTGAATGAAACTTTATTTTTTGATTCAAACTTGAAGAATTTCGCCCGACTTCCAACTATGTTTATAATACTTTTACCCACAATTTCTGTAAATTTTCTGTGTTTTTGTCAAAAATGCCAATTATTGTTTATTAAAAAGTCGTATTTTGTGTGTAATCAATTTAAAACGTCATTTATGACGTCATATCTAGAATCTGTAAGATAATTTCACGTAATCAAATCATTACGTCATATTCGGTATCGTAATTTTGCGTTTTGATCAACTTTTTGTTACGTCATTCACGTCATTACGTCATGACTGACATTGCCGAAGCTGGTCTTCCACGCAAAGTCAATTATTTTTTGGAATCTTGTGCTGGTTTTAGTTTAGAGTAGAAATATTAGCTAGTTATTATGGATTGCCTATTATTATTGTATATTTGTTTACTTTACCAATCACGTAATACTTTTCATGATAAAATAAACTGGTACGATTTTCAAGACGCAGAAAACAAAAACCCCAACCCAAACATTTGTCACCCGGAGAAACTTTTTTGCATTTTTATGCAAAGATACGGTTTATCGGTTCAGCAATTTTTCACCGTTGATGGTTGTGCGTTTTATTGGCCGATGTATGTTCCCAAAACTGGCGCAAATGTGTAAATTACCAAAAACTCGTTTTTTTTTAATAAATAGTTGCCCAATAAAAAAACCTAAATTTGCTTCGATATGTAAAATATGTGGACCGCCGCGCGGTCTGCTTATTCTACATATCGGACCAAATCACATATCCAAACAAAAAATTATTTTTCAACAAAATATGTACAACGCTATGATCTCACGTTAAATTTGATTCATCATTCCTTTTTATCAATTCATGAATTCGGAGATTTATCAATATTCTTCGCGGAACAAACTATGAACATTATTACACCAATATATTTGCGATCATTTAAAGCTCTTTCCTGTGCTGTTTATGCATTTCAACCGATGCATGTCACCGATGTATTTGCGGTCATTTAAAGCTCTTTCCTGTGCTGTTTATGCATTTCAACCGATGCATGTCACCGATGTATTTGAGGTCATTCAAAGCTTTTTCCTGTGTTGTTTATGCATTTCAACTGTTTCAACTTTATTCCTAACACCTTCACAAATCAAATCGTTAAAATTGATCGTACACTAACAATATTTTTTGCTGACTTTTCTGCACATTTTGAAACGTAAAACAAGTGTTTGTCCTGACCTTACATTATTTTGAACTGAAATCAATTTTCGACATAGAATCACTATTTTACAGAAATAAAAGTTATTTCAAATATCCTAAATACCAACTCTGGCTTTTATTTTTATTGCTTTGTGAAATAGATTTCACGTTTTTGTACATAGTAGTAGAAAAGTGTACATTTTCAGTGTACAATTTAAAGTATACAATTTTCAGGTCTTGCAAGTAAACGCCGTAACCTTTTAAATGAGGCCAAACAGGAGTGCGATGTGAAAATACAACCCAAATTCTTATTAACTTTAAATAAAATCCTCCTTGCGCGAACATAATACCCTAAACGGCGTGTGACATACCTGCTTGGTTGAAAATTGAGTAGGTTCCGATTTGAACTAAATGCGTGTTTCAAGAATTCCTTTACGCACCATGCAGACTTTTTTAATCAAATCAAAATTTCACGTAGCATTTTTATTGGATGTATTTTAGCATTTACGGCGTTTACTTCACTAGACTCCATTTTTCAATCTAATATGGAGATCATCCTAGGCAACGTTCATCGCTTACAAGGATCCCAAAACTGATCACATTTTTGCTGTTTTCACCTGACTATTATGCTTGAATACATTCGTAACTTCAGCTACATTTTCGAACAGTCATTGTACAATGTTCAATACAGTGGTTCTCAAACTTTTTAAGCCGGGCACCCCATCTTATAATTTGTCAAGTCTCGCCTCAAAAAGAACTAGCTAACAATAAGCTACAAATAACAGACATTAAGGCGAAAGTATGTTTTATTCAAAAAACACATTGAAAATACGTGAATGGAACGTAATAACCAAAATAAGGTGGGCAATCTAACAAATGTATTTATTTTTAATTAGATTCCCCCCCCCCTTTAAAAAATTGTCTACACCCCCCCCCAATTGTGGGTCGCGCGCCACCGTTTGAGAACCACCGGTTTAATAGAATAATTCAATTAGCTTTTGCTAGCTGTGTACCTATATGTACAAACTTCTCAAAATACCTGGCAACAGCATTTGTAACTTTGCCTTAAATTTCAAGACGAATCCACCAAAATTTCAGATTACTTTTTGAAAATCTGATATTGATGACGTCATCGATTCAATAGATATGATGTCATAAATTGGATAGACAAAAATTGTAATAACTTTGATAAAAAGATGACGTCACGTACAATTAAAATTACGTCAAATTCAAATATGATAACGTCATAAGTTTAATCAAGATGACGTCATAATTTATCGATAAGATATCCAATACCTTAACTCCAGATTCATGTCAGCAAAAATGAATTGTAAGATATCAAGTACAACGCTTTGTATTTTTAGTTAGTGATTATACGCATTTTTCTTTTTATTTTGTTTTTGCTTTTAACCGTACGAACTCGTAAAACAGAAATTCATCATTAAAATGGGGGAACACTGAAAAAATCCGCGTGGAATTATATGATGATAAATTTCTGTTGAAATTAAATTTGCCTTGTTTCACACATGTTTTTTAATTTGTGGAAAGAAATGACGTAAAGGTGACGTCATAATTTGCCGACGACGTCATATTAACCAAAAGATGGGACGGAGAGCCATTTCCATTGTGATCAGAGGGCGTAGATTGATTTGATTCCGTGTATTTCATAAATCGCACAAATAAAATCTTTTTGGTAAAACTTGAGTGATTTGTTTTTTACTATATGCAGGCCGGATCATGCCTTTCAGGTTCTAAGCACTTAAGGCTTTGGTGCCTTTATATATAATAATATTAACGGAACCGGTGTTATCTGAAGTTGAATACGGCAAGTAAGTTTCGGTATCCATTACTACAGTACGGTAGCCAGATGAGATCACGAATAGAATGTGTATAGGTATAGGTTGAATTGAAACGATATCTCACAAGTTAACCTTCGATACGAGCTTGGACTTGGTTAAGACACTGCCATAAAGTACACGGAGACATTTTGAGCATCTATGATTGTAATATAACATATGCCTCTAAAAAACTTGTAAAAGTTATTCTTAGTAAAAACAAATTTCTGTTTTTCCAGCGATCACCCTGGGGTTGAAGGCCAAGTAAAAATTAACTTCAGAAAAAATGTAAGAAAAATTTATATCAACCGGGACAATATTGAGGTCTGGATCTTCTAACCAACCAGAATTATTTGATTAAACACCGATGCACCGTTTAAAATTCATCTATGAAAATTTCTGTGTTCCTCATTTCTCTTAGTTCCCTAAGCATGTTCCTATTTTGCTCAGTGCTTAATCCAGACATGACTATAGTATAGCTATGAGAAGAACGCCAATTTTTTTCTGGCAACCCTTGCGTTAACAGCTGCGTGTAGCAGGGCTACTTAACTGGCGGTCCGAATCCGGACCTTTCGAGTATTCGCTTCGGACCCTAACCTAACTCTTTATTTTGGATCATTGGCCCCACTTCGGAAATGTAATAGTTTCCGTTTATTAAATGACCTCATAGTTTAGAAAGCTATTTTATAATTTGCTGATATTTGCACCTCACATATATGGAACTCCGTAATAAAAAATGCGAATAGCGCTATCTTGATTAGCGAATAATCACCACCCGCCAAGGAAATGCGTGTTAAAGAATGTCGGAACCCCAGTAATTTTGAAGTTTTGCGCGCGGATCTTTGGTAAAAATAGTAGCCCTGACGTAGGTATAGGGCAGGGATGGCGAACCAAACAGACGCGAGCCACAAATTGACCCACCGCGATTTCTCGGTGACCCAAAAAGTTGCAAATTAATGCCAACGACATAGCGCATGATTGCCCCCAGGTATATTCATGTCGAGGAATACGAGGATAAATAAATCCCAACCGGTATAAGAAAAACAATGTAATTTGCCGACGTTTCGAATTTATATTCAGAAAAACGTAATCAAGGAGTGATATGAAAAGAACATTATAGAGCGCGCTCATGCCCTTCATCATGCCTTGATGAAGTTTTTCCGAATATAAATTTGAAACGTCGGCAACTTACATCGTTCTTCCTACACCGGTTGTGCTTTCTTTATCTTCAACATATCAACATCCCGGTAATAAAAATTCCTAAAAAAGCGGTCTTCGGTCTAACAATATGTCAACTACTGAAGTATATTGGCTAGGACTTGCGGAAAATATGCAGATAATGTTACAAAATCAATGACCACAGTGCTCGTTTCCGCAATAAAAATATAACTTCTGACTCATTCTTTAAAAACAGTTAGCTATCCAAAGAATAGATGATATTGTCGTTGCAGGTCTCTAGCGCCGGCTCCCGGATTGCTAAATGTAATTTTGGAATTGAACACAAACTATGTTTTAGACCAGGGGTCGGGAACCTACGGCCCGCGGGACAGATCCGCCTGTGGAGTATTATAATTTGGCCCGCGCCGCTTCACCGAAATATAGTAACAAAACAGCTGTTTTGACGATGATATTCTTTACGTAACAGAATTTATTGTGAGACACGTGTAGACTAAATTATATTATAACCTAACAAGTATATAATTCACAATTACTCGTTTAATGAGCCTATAATTTAATTATAATTACTCTAATGTCGACAAAACACAGAAAAAGTTGATGCTAAGTGCAAAGTGTTTAATGGCGCAGAAAATATTCAAATGGAATTTTTTGAGATACGAAGCAATGAACAAATAAATCTATATTCTATTCATAAGATATATCACTGCTTGATTTTTATTATAAAAAGTATCGTCTTCATCGTAAACTCTATCCAGATTTGACAATCCATACAAAAAAAATTCAGATGCGAACAATTTTTTCCGAAAATGAACATTAGAAAGAACAAGCAGAGAACATAAATGGTGATTCCCATTTATGATTTTTTTAATCTTGGCTTCATCCAGTGTTTCATTCAGAAAAGCGTGATGCAACAAAAAGTGTCACATCAAAAGTTATTTTTCAAATTTTTTCTTTAAGTCGACCAATTTGCGTTCAGAGGTCGACCCAGTCTTCGCGCACTGCTCAAATTTTAACTTCTGAACTGTGTGAAAAAATGTGATTAATCGGCCTTTCGTCCGGTCCAGCCCAGAGAGAATTGCGAGATTTCTTGCTATCGCAATATCGATAAGGTCTTATTTTAATTAGAGGGCTTATATTAAAATTATTCTGGCTAGTTCCTATTTTTAGGCTAAATCTTATCTTCGGGGAAACACGGCACTTTGTGCAGTGAAATGGCAATTTTTAACAAGGAAACGTGACCCTAAGACTCAGAAACCTGAGTTCATAACATTCATTCAGCTCAATCGACGAGAGCAAGCAACATAAAAAACACATCGCCCAGCCCTTTTTCAATGGTAACAATATTGTTGTGAAGAATTCAAGAGACTTGCAGGTCACTATACTCACTAACATTGGATTTTATATCATCCGATTGACGGAGTCTCCCGCGCAAGGGAGTATTGGTTAGCGCAGGGGTCGGCAACCTTTTGTCGCTCACGGGCCAAAATTAAGGGTTGCAAGTCATTGGCAGGCCGCACACATTTTTAGAAAGTTGAAAACCAAACGGATGATATTTCTTATAATAAAAATCAAGCAGTGATGCATCTCTCGAATAGAATATAGATTTATTTCCTGATTGCATTGCATCTCAAAAAATTCCATTTGAATATTTTTGTGCGCCATTGAACCCTTTGCACTTAACATCAACATCTGCGTTTTGTTACTATTTAACTAATTATGAATAAATTATAGGCTCTTTAAACGAGTAATTGTGAATTATATACCTATTAGGTTATAATATAATTTAGTCTACACGTTTCTCACAATAAATTCTGTCTTCTATTGTCAAAACAGCTGTTTTGTTACTATAATTCAGTGAAGCGTCGCGGGCCGGATTATATCACTCCACAGGCAGGATCCGGCCCATGGGCCGTAGGTTGCCGACCACTGGGTTAACGGGTTGGATCCCAACCCCCCTGAAATGCGAAACAAAATTTTTTTTATCATAAATAGCAACAATTTTTCGTAACTTGAAGCGCTTTTTAGATTCTCAACACGCATAGAAATTCGCATGGAATTTATCACTCAGTTTGTTCGATGAGTGTTCACATATAATGAGACAAATATTTCATAAAAGTAGAAAGAAAAGAGTCATATGTCAGAATTGCATTTTAACAATGTCTCTAAATGAAGGTTTCACCTTGACCTTTCACGAAATGCCAAACTGCAGTCCTAGCGCATGCGGTCACATTAAAATTTTAGGGGCTCCCGAAGTATGCGAACCAAGATGGCGGACATCGGAATGTAATATGTGTACTAGGTCAGGGTTAGGCCATAATTTTAGCTATATATACTACGGGAGGCTCTTGGCTAGCTTTCGAACTGATAATAGGACTAAAATAAGGAAAATTGGAAAAAACATTATCGCCTAACCCTAACCTGTTACTCATGTTACGTTCCGATGTCCGCCATCTTGGTTCGCATACTTCGGGAGCACCAAATTTTACTTCCGAATATTAGTTGCACAAAAGGACTAATTTCGTAAATATGGGGGAAAGGTAACTAGGCTAATTTTTGTTTTATTACGTAAGGACGCCTGCCCATACCTTTGCCACGCAGAATTTTTTTGCTTTGACGCATTTAAATGGTATATTTATCCTAAAATTACTCTCCGCAAAAGTTAGCTATTATCAAAATCATGTTATCTTAGATTAAACTAGGCCACGCTTAATTTGGCGATAATATTACCTATTTTATCTATGACACAGGCGTGGTCCGGATATAATTCAACTAAATATCACTCTCATATGAGAGAATGGTCTCGTTTATTGCAGCACAATAGTACGTTCTATGACGTCACTATTTCTCATGCATAATTTTTATGAAACAGGAAATTACGCTGATGACACTTCTAGCGTATGGCATGCAATAATCAACAGCTAGGGCATGGGCCGTACATGCCTCGAGGATTTATAGAGAGGCCATGCCTTGTCAGGTATGCCACCTCGTGCGCCCTTGTGGTACCGCATCAGACAGAGAATACACACAGCGTGCGTGGTGTATTACGTATAGTCAGTATATGCATATAAGAGTAAGGTATATCACGGTTAAAGTTAAGAATGTGGAAGGTCGCGTGACTATTCATGGTAACAAGAAAGATCCCATTTGGAGATTAAATGTAACAAATGGCACATGCATTAATAATCGTATATAGTTCAATCAGAATAGAGATGTCTAGAAAACGTTTTTGTAAAAATCTCTCCAAAGCAGGGTAACGTGCACCCATTTGGAGGTAAAGGAGATGGATTTTTGTGCAAAGGTGATGCATCAAACCATAATTGCATAAATCATTTGATTAACTGCGCAAAGGATTCAAAATTACTTTAGGCAGCTAGCAGTAATAGCACTTTCCATTAACTTTTGGGCAATCTCTGATGATAAAAATCACGTAATATTTTATTCAGAAAGGGGGAAGCAGTATATGGGACGGTATGGGCATTGTGGAAGAATTTCTCATGGCCAAGTAAGATTTGAGTCTGAAAATTGACGAGTTATTGACAGAACCTTGAGAATGAGCAGCAGGACATTGTTAGGCTTAATCTGATTTGCATCGCATGGAAGTAATCTGCAAACTTCTATGATATGGACTGTAAATCACCATTTTAGCTATTTTGGAGTGCCCTGGCCTAGTGCAGCGGTGGGCATA